GTCTGGGCGACAGAGTGAGACTCCAACTCAAAAAAAAAAAAAAAAGAAAGAAAATAGGGAGTGTATAAATACTTTTTTTTTGAGTTGGAGTCTTACTGTGTCACGCAGGCTGGAGTGCAGTGGCACGCTCACAGCCACCTCAGCCTCGACCTGCTGAGTTCAGGCAGTCCTTCCACTTCAGCCTTCCAAATAGCGGAACTACAGGCATGCGTCACCATACCCTGCTAATTTTTTTTATTTATTGTAGAGACAAGGTCTCACCAACCTGCCCAGGCTGGTCTTGAACACGTGGGCTCAGGCATTCCTCTCACCTCCACCTCCCAAAGTGCTGGGATTGTAGGCGTGAGCCACTGCACCCGGCGCATGAATACATTTTAGTATGATAGTTAAAATGTGTATTTGGTCCTGTATAAAATGAGAAAATTCACATATTATTTTTTAACAGAACAGAAGATGAAATGATTTCAAATCCTCTAGCACAAGAGATTGGTGAGAAAAGAATTGAGGAACTTACTCATACAATGAATGGAAATCCAACTTTACCTCCAAATATCACAGTTAACAAATTTGTTCTCCAGCTTTCAAAAGAAGGTAATCTCAGTTTTCATTATTTTGGGAGGGAACTTTGTGAGGAAGAACTGGCTTCTTTTCAATTGACTTCTTATGAGCAGTTTCAAGTTCCCAGCAAACTGAGCAGAAAGTACAGAAAGTTCTCATATATCCCCACTAACAGACAGCCTCTCCCATTATCGACAGCCCGCACCGAGGTGGTACTTTTGTTGTAATCAATGAACTTACACTGATACGTCGTTAGCGCTCAAAACCCATGGTTTGCATGAGGGCTCACTCTTGGTGTTGTATAGCCTATGGATTTGGACAAATATGTGATGCTGTATAAATCCATCATGGTGGTAGTATACAAAGCAGTCCCTGCCCTCATAATCCTCTGTACTTCACCTCCTTATCTGTCCTTTCTCTCTAACCTCTGGCAACACTAACATCTTTACTGTTTCCAAGAGCTGACGTTCTTTTTTTTTTTTTTTGAGTTGGGAGTCTCACTCTGTCACCCAGACTGGAGTGCAGTGGCCACTCCTGACCACCGCAGCCTTGACCTGCTGGGCTCCGGCGATCGTTCCGCCTCAGCCTTCCAAGAAGCTGGAACTACAGGCGCATGCTACCACGCCCGGCTAATTTTTTGATTTATCGAAGAGATGAGGTCTCGCCAAGTTGCCCAGGCGGGTACCCGCGGGCTCAGGCAATCCTCTTACCTCAGCCTCCCAAAGCGCGGGATTACAGGCTGAGCCACTGAGCCCAGCTGAGCTGACATTCTAGATGTGACAAAAGTCTTGTGTTTTGTGTATTGACTCTGTCCTTCTCCTCCTGTAGGAGTTTCCTTCTGCATAGCAATTCTATCAGCTGAGGCAGCATGCATCTAATAACAACATATCTTTTATAGTGATCGTGACCAGATTAACTTGAGGCTCTATGGTCTACACTACCAGACTCACTACAAGTCCTTATGATTTATGATTCAAGAGGTCCATCTTCTTATGAGTGCATGCTTTTTCTGTTGTCTAAACACCTCCCAAATATCTGCCTGCTTCTTTCCCTTTCTTTGTTTATATTGAGTTTTACTTTATTAGAGAGTTGGAGGGTACAAGTGAGGACTCGCTCCATAAGTAGGCTACATGGAGGTGAGGTTGGGCCTCTGCTCTTTCCCTCCCTCCGAACCAGTGGGGCCACCCGATGGTCCATTCCACTCCACTGTTTACTTCACCTACTTGTGTTTTTCTAAGGGTAGAGAGGAGAGCCCCAAAGTCAGGGAAATTAGGAGGTATATGTTCACAGTTCATTAAGGCTGCACCCTTCCCGGTTTGGTCATACTATGACAAAAGCAAGCCAAGCGGGATTATAGCTGATCCACAGTACTTATGACTGGTGAGGCAGGAAACTCTGGTACCCAAAGAAAGACTGTAGAGGGAGAAGAAGAACTGGAAGAGAGCTCTGGGGAAGACTGGCGTTTGGAGGACAAGTGGAAGTGCCACGAAGTGCAGTTTTTAGCTGTTACAAATGAAAAAATGACTTTTCTCATCATTTTCCCTTGACGTCACAGAGAACCTCTAGATGTTTCTTAATAAAAGTGGGTGTAATTTTCAGTAAAGATAATAAGAATAATTTCTACCTATTGGACTTTTCTTTGTGCTAAGCAATTTGTTATACATTTTATATTTAGCACCTATAATCTTTCAGTAGGCCTGTAAAGTGAAGGGTAAAACTTCATTTTACAATGTGGAAACAAAATCAGAAGGATCATGTTTTTAAAAAAGGACACAGGCCAGGCTCGGTGGCTCAGCCTGTAATCCCAGCACTCTGGGAGGCTGAGGTGAGTGGATTGTCTGGGCCCACTGGTTTGAGACCAGCCCAGGCAACTTGGTGAGAACTCGTCTCTACAATAAATCAAAATAATTAGCTAGGTGTGGTAGCACGCACCTATAGTTCCGGTGACTTGGAAGGGTGAGGCGGAAAGATCGCCAGAGCCCAGCAGGTTGACGTTGGGGTGGCCGTGACTGTGCCACTGCACTCCAGCCTGGGTGACAGAGTGAGACTCCAACTCAAAACAAAATACAAAAACAAACCAAAAAAAAAGGACACAGGAGAGAAGGAAAACTGGCACTTAATATACTTTTGTTTTTAATTTATTTTAAGCCGGGCTCGGTGGCTCAGCCTGTAATCCCGTGCTTTGGGAGGCTGAGGTGAGTGGATTGCCTGAACCCGCGGGTTTGAGACCCGCCTAGGCAACTTGGCAAGACCTCATCTCTACAATAAATCAAAAATCAGCCAGGTGTGGTAGTGTGTGCCTGTAATTCTGCCTACTCAGAAGGCTGAGGTGGAAGGATCACCGAATCCTAGCAGGTCGAGGCTGCAGTGGCTGGGAGCGGCCACTGCACTCCAGTCTGGGCTCCGGTGAGACTACAACTAAAAAAAAAAAAAAAAATTATTTTAAAGATATGGGGTACAATTTAGGATTAGGTATACAAGTGGTCATCATACAGGTAAAGTTTGGGCTTACCTTTGGTCCCCATAAGGTACTTTTGAACACATTTTTGTTCTTACCTTTGTTATATGTGCACATAGTATAAAGCATTCAAATAGCCCTACAAGTTCTATTTCAAAAAAGATAACAGTCCCTACAGTTCCCCTCTGCTGTTCCATTCTCTGCAGACTCAGCCATTTTTTAAACTCTCATCTCTAAGTAGCGTGTACGTGTTACTACTCTGTGACCTTTCAGTCTTAGAAACACTGACTGGGCATGGTGACTCAAGACTCCCAGCACTTTGGGAGGCTGAGGTGAGAGGATTATCTGAGCCCACAGGTTCGAGACCAGCCTGGGCAACATGGCGAGACCTCGTCTCTACAATAAATCAAAAAAATTAGCCAGGCATGGTAGCTGGCGCCTCTAGTTCCAGCTACTTGAAAGGCTGAGGCAAAAGGATTGCCTGAGCCCAGCGGGTCGAGGCTGCAGTGGCCGTGAGTGTGCCACTGCACTCCAGCCTGTGCGACGGAGTGAGACTCCAACTCAGAAAAAGAAAGAAAGAAATGCCTATTCATTTTCTCCCAAGGAGGATGGGTACCTGAGCCTCCTTCCTTCCTTGCATCTGCCTCACAATCACTTTTCACCCTCCATCTGTCGATACTATCAGATTACTTTGATGAGAGCCATAAGCAGTGTTTACATTATTTTGGCAGTATATGCTGTTCTGAGTTGAGCTGCATAGGAAACCTTGATTCCCTTTCTTTACAACATTTTTTCCTAAGAGCAAATATTTTGTTCTTTTCTGTTTTGCTTAGCTCTATTTCTACATTAGGGAGGAGTTCACCATTGCTGCTGTGTTTGCACGTGGATTGGCCGGCTGCATGCTGGGTGCGCAGCTGTCCTAGGGTCTCCCCTCACCGCCAGCAGGACCATCTTGGCCTCTCTCGTGGTGGATGTCTTACTTCCTGGTTTCTGTGCCTGCCCTTGTCTTGTTTACTCCTCATTTCCATGGCACACGTTTTCTGGTACTTTTTTGAGAAAAGACACGTGGGAAATTATTTGTTTGCTTGTGAATCTGAAAACTTTCATTGTATCCTGCTATTTGATTAACTCCTGGGAAATCCCAGGTTGGAAATCATTTCCGAAATGATTTTTAAGGCAATTCTCCATTGTCTGCTAGCTTCTTATGCTTGTGTTGAAAAGACTAAAGCCACTCTGATGAGTGATCCTTTGTATCTGATCTGTTCCCCACACCCACCATGAAACTTACAGCGTCTTCTCTTTGTCTCCTGCTTTCCGAAATGCGCAAGTAATGTGCTTTAAGGTACGTTTGTTTTCTTCTACTGTGACATATTTTCGGTTTATTTCACTGATGATTTCCCCCTAATTCTACCTTCTCTATTCTAATTGTGATCTCTTGTTCAGATATTGAACTTCTTAACTATTCTTCTAGTCTTTGCATATTATTCTCTCTTATTGTTCATCCATTCGGGATTTTGTTTGTTTGTTTGTTTTACCTTCTAGGAAATATCTTCAGATTTATCTTCTTCAGACTTTCCTATGGATATCTAAATAAATAATGCATTTTTTCCCTCCCTCCCTCCCTCCTTCCTTCCAAGTATCACTCTCTCACCTAGGCTGGAGTGATTATACTGGTGTGATCACGGCTACTGCAGCCTCAATCTGCTGGGCTCAGGCAATCCTTCTGCCTCCACCTTTCAAGTAACTGGAACTACAGGCACGTGCCACCACGCCTGGCTAATTTTTAAATTTTTTTGTAGAGACAAGGTCTTGCTATGTTGCCCAGGCTGGTCTTGAACTCCTGGGCTCAAGCATTCCACTTACCTTGGCATCCTTAAGTGCTGGGACTGCAAGTGTGAGCCACCGCGCCTGACCTCCTTTTTCTTTTTATTCTAAAACACTTTTACATTCTCAGAATTTCATTTTTCCTGGCATCTTATTCTTGTTTTATGGTTGCTTGTTTTAGTTACCCTCACATCCCTAGCACCTGAACGGTGCCTAGCACACAATAGGTCTCAATAAGTATTTGTTGAGTGAATGAATGAACATGCTATTTTGATACCCTTGCAAACCAGACTTCTTCCTGCTTTGGACTTATTCATAGCATATCTCCTTATACTAGTTGCTGACATGATAAAATTTTCCCTCACTCTTTTCCTGTGTGGCTATCCTTGCCTTCTTACTTGAGGTGCAGCTGCTGAAGGCCTATGATTCGTTGTGTATCTTTTTCTAGCACCTGATTCAGTGCCCTTCCCACAGGTAAGTATTGAGCAAATGTGGACTGGTTGGTTAGAGGCCATTTGTGATCTTAAATCTTTACTAAAAGATGTTAATTTAGGAAGGGCTCGATGGCTCAGCCTGTAATCCCAGCACTTTGGGAGGCTGAGGCGAGTGGATTGCCTGAGCCTGCAGGTTCGAGACCAGCCCAGGCAACTTGACAAGACCTCGTCTCTACAACAAATCAAAAAGTAGCCGGGCGTGGTAGCGTGCACCTGAAGTTCCCACTATTTGGAAGGTTGAGGCAGAAGGATCACCAGAGCCCAGCCGGTCGAGGCTGCGGTGCCTGGGAGTGTGCCACTGCTCTCCAGCCTGGGCGACAGAGTGAGACTCCAACTCAAAAAAAAAAAGATGTTAATTTGATTTAATTGTGGTCAGTAACTTGGAAATTGCAGACTCGGATCCTTTAAGAGCCAAGCAGATCAGGGAGCCAGCAAGTACGTAATTATCATACATGTAGAAAAACAACACATGCCACCATTCTTCTTGAAACATACATATGGCCCTCTCAGGCTATTTTTCCTTTTCCCACTTAACGTCAAGACACAAGTACTGGGAAATTGACTTTTTTTCTTTTTTTGAGTTGGAGTCTCACTCTCACTCAATGCAGTGGCATGAGCACAGCTACCGCAGCCTCCACCTGCTGGACTTAGGCGATCTTTCCACTTTGGCCTTCCAAGTAGCTGGAACTGTAGGCGTGCGTCACCATGCCCACCTAATTTTTTGTTTTATCGTAAAGATGAGGTCTTGCCATGTTGTCCAGACTGGCCTTGAACATGTGGGCTCAGGCAGTCCTCTCACCTCGGCCTCAAGTAGTGCTGGGGCTGGGATCACAGGCATGAGCTGCCATGCCCAGCTGGGAAACTGATTTCCACTGAGACAAAAGCAACAGGACAATACCATGAAGATGGCAGCTGACACTCAGTTTTCCTGTCTGGGAAGCTAGGGGGAGTGCTGGGATTGGTGGTAAACTAGAAATGACATGAGAGTCCATGAGGGGTAGCCCTGATTTATACCACTGATTTGGGCCAGGCATTAATTTTGACTCAGCATTGTATGATTTTATGGGGTTTTTTTAAATGTAAGCTTGAAATCCAGATTTTTGTATAAAATCTCACATTTTTCTACAAGTTAATTTTTTTTCAAAGTGCTTTATAGCCAAACAAATCATGGCTATAGGCCATTTAGTCCGGAGGCCCCTGGCATGGAAACTCTGTAGGAGATGTATTAAAACTGTTGCTTTTGTAATTTTGCTTAATTAAAAGGAAGAGAAAAATGTTAATTATGATCTGATGGTTAGGATGATGAAAAACTTAATCTCAGTAATGACCAGAAGGCCAAGTTAATATTAACCTAATGCTGTATTTTAAGTTAAAACAATATACTACAAGTATGTGTGTTGCTGTGAATAGAAAGATAAATAATTAGTAATCTCATATTCTCTCAAATGTGTAAAATAATTTATAAACATGACTAGTAAACTTTTAAATTTGGAATTAACTTAATGTTGGCCATAAAAGCTAGATAATATATCTTTATAATCAACGTAGCCAGAAGATAAAATGAATATGACTCATAACCCTGATGTGTGTTTTAAGGTCAATCTTGAAAAGAAAAATTGTAATATAACAAATTTAAATTATCCTAACATTAAATTAATCCATTATATTACTATTAAAATAGTTTTTTGGGTCTTGCTCTCTTGCCCAGGCTGGAATGCAGTGGTGCAGTCATAGCTCAGTGTAGCCTCAAACCCCTGGGATCACACTGTCCTTCTACCTCAGCCCCCCGAGTAGCTGGAACTATAGGTGTGAGTCACCACACCCAGCTAATTTTTTTTATTTTTGTAGATATGGGGTCTCACAGTGTTGCCTGGGCTGGTCTCAAAGTCCAGGCCTCAGGTGATCCTCTCACCTTGGCCTCTCAAAGTGCAGGGATTATAGGCATGAGCCACCAGACCTAGCCTAAATAGTTTTTCTTATGTATTTTAGAAGTGAAAGAATTTTTTAATGTTGGTTGGGTGTGCATGTTTTATTTATCAGTCTTCACAGTTACCTTATCTTTTTTTTTCAAGCTGTGGAAGGTGTGTGGAAGCAGCAAACACTGTTGCGCATTCTTCAGTTGATTCACCTTCCCTTCTTGGAAAGTATTTTGGAGCCTCCGGTTAAAACGCAAAGTCTCCAGTTCAGCAAAGAGGAAGATCTTGTCATCTCTAACACTTGCCCAGACAGAGACCTTATTCCAAGCTCATGTCTACCTGAGTAAGTGACCGTTTTTATTGCCAAATAATTTGTAACTAAAAAGTTATTTTACATATTTGCCCTCAGTATTTTAAGATGTGAAAACATTTTCATATTATAAACTGCCACCATCTCTGTTTTATAAATTAATCACTGTGTACTCTCAGTTGATCTAACAAAACCGTTGGTTATGGCCTACGAGAAGAATTTTGGCCATCTGAGTGGTTTCCGTCACATTCATTTGTATGTCAATCAGCTTCTTCCTGCACCATCCAAAATTCTATCGTGTCCATTTTATGGTGCTAAAGTAATATAACATCACAGTGTCTACCAGTTTATTTATCCCTGCCCTAAAAAGAATCCAATCTAGAAGGGGAGACATGCTTGGAAGAAAAAGTTGCAGGCAGATGAGATAAGCCCCGTCATAAAATCTGCCTCATCTGTGGGTGGGAGGTGGGAAATTCCCTTCCCTTCTGCTCCCAATTCCAAGATGCGTGTCACTCCTGCGTAAACCAGCTGCTGGGCCAGAGCCGTAAGGGTAAGGCCTGGGCACTGCTGGAATTTCCACCGAGGGAAGCGAGGGAGTCATTCCGCCCACGTGCGCCTAACAAGGAAGGAACAGACTCCAAGGCTGAGGGCCAGAAAGCTTTGCCTCCCCGAAGGAGGTCAGTGGCCAGAGCCTGTGGGCCCACTTCGCTCTCCTTTGTGGCCCTGTTTGCAGACAGCGGATTTTCCTTGTTCACAGAAGGCTGAGAAAAACCAAAACAAAGGGCCAAGTCTTCCCTGCCCTTGAGTCAGGGTTAGAACAGGGAGGGACACCAGAGAGAAACAGGATTCTGAAGGTGCAGGTGCCTCTGCAGGAGCCTGGCAGCAACCTGTCTGCCTTCATGTGTGCTTCCAGGCAGAAAGGGCAGGTTGTCGGTAGAAGAAAAACAATCAAATTGACATCAGTCTTTTCATCTGCAACGCTAGAATCTGGAAGATAATGAATCGCACATCTTAGGCTCAATAGACCGTTCATCTGTCGGGGAAATAAAAAGAAGGAAGAAAAGAAGACCTGCAAGATATTTGAGGATTATCAAGAATTCATAGAGTCTGTCACTCTGGAACCCCATCCAAAGAAAATATCTGAGGAAAGACTTGAATTGGACTACAAAGAAATACATGGGGGACCCCCCAAAAACAATAATTTTTTGGAGGCAGGCCCCTTGTAGTACACTCAGAATTTGGTCCTCCAGATCAGTCAACCAAAGTATTTTTGTTTTGGTTTTCTGAGTTGGAGTCTCACTCCGTCGCCCAGGCTGGAGTGCAGTGGCATGCTCACAGCCACCCCGGTGTCAACTTGCTAGGCTCCAACGATCTACCTCAGTCTTCAAAGTAGCTGGAACTACAGGCGTGCACCTGGCTAATTTTTGACTTATTGTAGAGACAAGGTCTCCAAGTTGCCCGGGTGGGTCTCGAACCTTCAAGCTCAGGCAATCCACTCACCTTGGCCTCCCAAAGTGCAGGGATTACAGGCTGAGCCACCAAGCCTGACCTCGACCAACGTTTTTATCTGCAAGTTTTGAGAATGTTGTGTCATTATTTGCAGAAGAAATGTCCCAAGCTGTGGCAAACAGGTGACTGGTTCTTCTTCCACAACACACCCGCCCACACTGTGCTGAGTGTTCAGCAGTTTTTGACCAAAAACAGCGTGACCCCCATGCCCCACCATCCCTGATCACCTGATCTCACTCAGGCAACTTTATTTTGTTTCCCTGGGTTAAAAAATCCCCAAAGGGAAACATCTCGCTGATGTGGAAGAGGTGAAACAAAAAACAGGAGAAAAACAGCAGAAACGAAAGGCATCAAAATTAATGAGTTCAAAATCTGTTTTGAGCAGTGGAAAAAGCCTTGTTAGGCATTTTGCATCAAACAGAGAGTACTTTGAAGGTGACTGAAGCTTAAACATATAAGAATAAATACACAATTATTTTCTAAATAAATTCCAGTTTTTTTGGGGGGCCCCTCTTGTAACCATAACCCCAAAATGAAGAGTGGTGAAGATAAGAAGCTTTGCACTCATCTGAGTGCAACTTTTTTTTCCCTAAGAGACAGGGTCTCGCTGTATCACCCAGGCTGGAGTACAGTGGCATGATCATGGCTCACGGCAGCCTGAAATTCCTGGGCTTAAGCGATCCTTCTGCCTCAGCCTCCCAAACTGCTGGAATTATAGGCATGAGCCCCCATGCCTGGCCAGGCAGTGCACTTGGATTTCTGCTCTCTCGTCTATGGTTTCCCTCCTCTCCCACTTTGCGCACACATGCGCACACACTAATTCCAAGTAGATGCAGTCAGGCTGAGTGAGAATGTATAACATGAAAGTTAAAAAAGTGAAAAGGAGGCACATACTATTAAGGGAAATTATAAATACTAGCCTATCTCAGCAAAGCCTGGGGGCAGGGAGGGCAGCAAAGCAAGTGTGAAGGAGGAGTAAGTAAAGACCTCCCAGAGGAGTCACTGGAGGATGGAGAGGAACAGGAACTAAGAAAGGGAAAGCAATTTGTAGTGGGAGCAGCAGGGCATCTGGGCTGGGGAAACAGTGGTTATCTTATTTCAAATCCTAGAGCCAAGTGCATATCATTGGAGCAGGAAAAGGGAGGGAACCATAATTGAAATGGAACAGTACAGATGAACTCCTCTGAAGGCGGTCTCACAAAATTAGAAATAAATCACAAAAAGGTTGCTGAAAAATTTTTTCACTCCTTGAAAATAAAGGGACACAAGGATGTGGTGGCATCTGGTAAGGAAAAGAGCCGCCCTGTCACATCCTCTTCATTCTCCTAGCAGAGGGTACTGAATGATTCTCTGAGAAGCAGTTTCTCTAGACGTGGTTACTCATGATGTTTCCTCCGACAGTGCTGTAGCAAATGCAGATGTGAACCCTGATTGCTTTTGTTTTGTGCTTTCCCTCCAGGACTGATCACTGGCTAGATGCAGCCCTGGGGTGCTTGGCGTACTTCCCTGACCAGTTAATAGTTACAACTAATCAGCAGTTAGTACAAAGCAGAAGCGAAGAGACAAGACTGGATATTCAGAAGAAGATACTCTTTGACGTAATCGTGAAATATTATAGTCGAGAGAGAGAATGCCTGTTAACCGATGAGTATTTTGACGTTCACTCAGGAATTATTGAACTTTTAGGTAAGAGAGAATGTTTATACTTTCGTTTTGGCATAGTAGAAACATGTTTGAGTATATAAGTTGAAGCAGAAAATTGTATGTATTATATGAGTATTGCATTTTAAACATTTGTGTTCTGAGTGTCATGGTATTTCAAGGAGTCTTTTTTTACTTCACAACTATTGCCTACCCTATAGAGTGTATCATAAAACGTGATGTACTATAGGACGTTAATCTAAGGTGCAGTACATCACAGGGACATCTGAAAAAACATGTATTGATGTTAGCAATGTTAATTTCCAGTGTGCTAATTTGGTGACCTTTTAGCAAAATAAAAATGAGTGACATATCACTTTTTTGACTTTGTAAGTGGCCGTATGATTTCAGGTTAAAAACAAAATACTGTTTGATAATGCTGAATGTAATTACATGGCGTATAATACAGAATTACACAGATAATGTCCTGTGTGATTTAAATACTTCACAATAAAAAATGTTTACGTGTAAAAAACATGCAAACCAAATATAGCATCCGAGTGTTTTAGTTGCCTCTTGAGTACTTAGGATACATTTTTGTCTTGTGCTTTTGTCACCTTTGAAACCCCATCCCAGAAAGTGGGAAACGGCCAGAAGCCCTGGAAGCAGCACAGCTGTACGTAAGATTGTTGCTACCCAGCATCAGAGAAGAATTACGGCGGCTGCTCATGTTCATGACTGTCGCATCAGAGCCAAAGGCCTACAAGTTGCAAAGACAGGTGAAAGCATTTGCAATAACAGTTTTACATTTTGCTGTTGTTTCCTTTATCTCTGCAATAAATCAAAAATTAGCTGGGTGTGGTAGCGCGTGCCTGTGGTTCCAGCTACTTGGAAGGCTGAGGCAGAAGGATCGCCGGAGCCCAGCAGGTCGAGGCTGCGGTGGCCGGGAGCAGCCACTGCACTCCAGTCTGGGCGACAGAGTGAGACTCCAACTCAAAAAAACAAGCAAACAAACAAAAAAAACCATTCAAGCTAATGTTAATCTTTCTGTTTACAGTATGATAACAAAACAGTGGTCCTGAAAACTCTTGCCAAAGCAGTTTTGCAAACCAAATCATTATTAAAAGAACGGACAGAACAACTGGTCTGTTTTCTACTGGAGTGTCACTCTGAACTCTTCAAGGTACGCCTGGCCCTTTGCCTGGGCACTTGTATTACTAACCTATTTGTGTTGAGCAAAAATATAAATTATTCACTTAATAAATCATTTACTGAGTACCTATAATGTGCAAAGTTTAAAGGAATGCTGTCTCCTCACACTCACTGAAGAGAGGAAAGTAGACGTAAAACAATTTCAGTATTTCAAGTATGCTGTTTAGTTTATTCAACCCATTTTTTGTGCATTAGTATGTGCCAGGCACTGTTCTGGGTGCTTGGAATATATCAGTGAACAAAAAACAAAGATTCAGGTTCTTAGACTGGGCACAGTGGCTCCTGCTTGTAATCCCAGCACTTTGGGAGGCCCAGATGGGAGGATTGCTTGAGCCCAGGAGTTTGAGACCAGCCTAGGCAACATAATGTGACCTTGTCTTTACCAAGAAAAAAAAGTTTCAGGTTCTTGAGAAACTTATGTCCAAGTAGGGGAGACAGATAATGAAAGGATGCACAGAAGAAATCATCAGTCATATAGTTTGATAGGAAATGATAAGTGTAGTTAAAAAAAGAAAGAGTAGACTCGGGGAGTCGATGGGTACTAGGTCTGGGTAGACAGGATGCTTACAGTATTCCAAAGGGCGGCCAAGGTTGGCTTCACTGAGAACATGAGATCTGAGCAAAGACTGGAAGGGAGAGTGCAGCCAGGTGGCCATGGGTTGGAGGGAGTGGGTTTGGGCACAGAAAAGGGATCCCAGAGCAGAGCCCCGAGGGTGGCGCATGCTGGGTATGGAGGAACAGCAAGGAGGGGACGTTGTATGCAATAGGTCAGAGAGGAACGGGTGGGTGTACATATCAGAGTGCGGCCCTAAGAGATACCAGAGGTTGCTTCTGCTTGGATGAAATGGGACTCATTGTAGGGACTGGGCGGGGCAGAGGCGGGATCTGACGGATACTGACAGACCTCACTCTGGCTTTTGTGTTAAGAATAGATTACAAAGGGGCGGGACAGAAGCAGGAACCTGCTGTTGCAATAACCCAGCAAGAAATATGGTGACTTAAGCCGGCTCGCAGGAGCGTTAGTAAAACATGATCATATTCTTAATATATTTTGAAATGCTTTAGAAAAAGATGGAGTTTTTTTAGCCTTACTACTATACTTTAGTACAGACAGTAATATGAATACTCTTAGTGGTATTCGTTCTCCAAAACATCTATAAAGAATTGTTCCTGAGCCGGGCGCAGTGGCTCACACCTGTAATCCCAGCACTTTAGGAGGCGGAGGCAAAAGGATTGCTTGAGCCCATGGGTACGAGACCAGCCTGGGCAACATGATGAGACCTCATCTCTGCAATAAATCAAAAAATTAGTCGGGTATGGTGGCGCATGCCTGTAGTTACAGCTCCTTGGAAGGCTGAGGTGGAAGGATTACCTGAGTCCTGCAGGTCAAGGCTGCGGTAGCCATGAGTGTGCCACTGCACTCCAACCTGGGCAAAACAGACTCCAACTCAAAAAAAAAGGTTCCTTTTTTCCTTTTTTTTTTTTCCTGAAAAATTTTGTCTCATTTCATAATAAAACACATTGGTTCAAATTTTGTAGCAGTTCTGTCAACCTTGGCTAAAGTTTCTTTTCTGTTATTTAAGAGAACAAGGTGGTACTAAGTATATACAATAGAGGCAGCCCCCAGTTTTGAATTTTGAATGACAGATATTTTATTTATTTATTTTTTTAGAGACAGGGTCTCACTCTGTTACCAGGCTGGAGTGCATGGTGGGACTACAGGTGTGTGCACTGTGCCTGGCGTGAACCAAGGTGTTTCTTTATGACATGAGCAGGAGATCGAAAAACGATAGCCGGGCTCGGTGGCTCAGCCTGTAATCCCGTGCTTTGGGAGGCCAAGGTGAGTAAATTGCCTGAGCCCGCGGGTTTGAGACCCACCTGGGCAACCTGGCGAGACCTCATCTCTACAATAAATCGAAAAAATTAGCCGGATGTGGTAGCGCACGCCTGTAGTTCCAACTACTTGGAAGGCTGAGGCGGAAGGATCACCTGAGTCCAGCATGGCGAGGCTGCGGTGGCCGTGAGCATGCTACTGCCTTCCAGCCTGGGCAACAGGGTGAGACTCTGACAAAAAAAAAACAACAACAAAAAAAAAACTTTTTATTTTTTTTGTCCGACATCTTAGTGAGGCAGCAGTGGTGTCTGCTGCCCTCCGAGCTTCGCAATGCAGCCCAAGGATGACAAGAGAAGAAAGATGCCAGAAAGTCGGCCAAGAAAGACAAAGACCCAGTGAACAAATCTGGGGGCAAGGCTAAAAAGAAGAAGTGGTCTAAAGGCAAAGTTCGGGACAAGTTAATAACCTAGTCTTGTTTGACAAAGCCACATATGACAAACTCTGTAAGGAAGTTCCCAATTACAAGCTTATAACTCCAGCTGTGGTCTCTGAGAGACTGAAGATTTGCAGTTCTCTGGCCAGGGCAGCCCTTCAGGAGCTCCTTAGTAAAGGTCTTATCAAACTGGTTT